GGGAGGCTGAGGCAGGAGAATGGCGTGAACCCGGGAGGCGGAGCTTGCAGTGAGCTGAGATCCGGCCACTGCACTCCAGCCTGGGCGGCAGAGCGAGACTCCGTCTCAAAAAACAAAACAAAACAAAAAAAAACTGGCTTTAAAAAACTCCTGGCCAGGGCCGGTGTATTCTCAGGAGGCTGAGGCAGGAGAATTGCTTGAACCTGGGAGGCATAGAGGTTGCAGTGAGCTGAGATCGTGTCACTACACTTCAGGCTGGTGACAGAGTGAGACTCCGTCTCAAAAACAAACAAAAACAAACTATTGGCTGAGTGTGGTTGCTCATGCCTATAATCCCAGCACTTTGGGAGGCTGAGGCGGGCAGATCACTTGAGGTCAGGAGTTCTAGACCAGCCTGGCTGACATGGTGAAACTCCGCCCCTACTAAAAATATAAAAATTAGCCGAGCGTGGGGGTGGATGCCTGTAATTCCAGCTACTCAGGAGGCTGAGGCAGGAAAACCACTTGAACCTGGGAGGCGGAAGTTGCAGTGAGCCAAGATCGCGCCACTGCACTCCAGCCTGGGTGACAGAGTGAGACTCCATCTCAAAAACAAAAACAAAAACAAAAACAAAACTCTTATATTCCTCTATTTCTCAAATCTTCCAAACAGACACTGTGGATACTGGCATACCCATTTCCTTCTCTAATCTGAACAGAACCCTATTGATTACATTACATTCCTCAAATAAAAACTTCGACATAGTTACTGAGAGAAATCTCCTCCTCCTCAATTACTGAGAAAACTACATTAACTAATCTTCCAGCACTGCCCACCTCCCTTCATTCAGCAGTGAATGAATTGGGCAGCTATTCTGTGGACTTATTTTCTTTCACCCTAGAGAAAAGGCATGGGACAATTTCTACATAAAAATGTTTCTTAAATTACTGGCTTAAGTAATACCATGAAATATATCACTTATTATATACCCAATACAATGTAAAAATGGGATATCCATATAATACTATCATTATTTTTTACCTAAAAAGTAAATAATTAAATTTATTTATAAATATAAATGCATAGAAAAAAGTTACCCGTAGTTTTCTGAGTGGAAGGATTGACTACAGGTAAATAAAAGTTTTCTTTTTTTTTTTTTAACTGCATATTTGTATCATCTGATTTCCCTACAATGCAAGTAGAAATGTTTAAATGTTTCAAAAAAGCATCCCATACCATCATTGACTCGATAACATAAGTTACACTTCCATCTCCTTTGATCAAGAAAGCTGACAAAAGGATTGATATATGTCCTGCATGAACGGCATCTCACAATTGTACTGGAGGTAACCACAGGCAATTGCTGAAAAAAAAAGAATTAAATTTAAACAGATTAAAGGCAATAATCATCATGTTGAAAATATAAGCATGAATCCATCCTGTCTAAATAACTGTTGGGATATTATCATTTTAGAGAAAACCTAGAGTACAAGATGTATCTAAACTGCCATACACAAAAACCATGTAGTTGAAATGTATTACTTTTAAACCCTACGATTTTGCTCCAAGACCATTCTCATTAAAAGTTGTCTTAAAAAAAAAATTATTGGCTGGGCACAGTGGCTCACATGTGTAATTCCAGCACTTTGGGAGCCAAGGTGGAAGGACTGCTTAAAGCCAGGAGTTTGAGACCAGCCTGGGCAACACAGTGAAATGTGACCCTCTCAAAAGATATAAAAAATTAGCCCAGTGTGGTGAGTTGGGTTGAAGTGGGAGGATCACTTGAGCCTGGGAGGTCAAGGCTGCAGTGAGCCATGACTGAGCCACTGCACTCCAGCATGGGCAATGGAGCAAGACCCAGTCTCAAAAAATAAAATAAAATAAAAATTTAAAAAGTATTTTTTTTCTCATGGAACACTCACATTGCAAAACCAAAATAGCAGGACAGGCACAGTGGCTAACACCTATGTCTAAAATCCCAGCACTCTGGTGGGAGGCTGAGGCAGGAGGATAACTTGAGGCCAGGAGTTTGAGACCAACCTGGGCAAGAAAGTTAGACCCTCTCTCTATTTTAAAAATAAAAATAGGCCAGGCATGGTGGCTCATGCCTGTAATCCCAGCACTTTGGGAGGCCAAGGTGGGTGGAACACGAGGTCAGGAGTCCAAGATCAGCCTGACCAACGTGGTGAAACCTCGTCTCTACTAAAAATACAAAAATTAGCTAGGTGTCGTGATGGGTGTCTATAATCCCAGCCACTCGGGAGGCTCAGGCAGGAGAATTGCTTCAACCCCGGGAGGCAGAGGTTGCAGTGAGCCAAGATCGCACCACTGCACTCCAGCCTGGACAACAGAGCAAGACTCCATCTTGGAAAAAAATAAAAATATCCCAGTGCTTTGGAAGGCCAAAGCAGGAGGATCACTTGAGGCCAGGAGCTAGAGACCAACCTGAGCAACACAGCAACAGCCCATCTCTACCAAAAAATTAAAAAAAAAAAGTTTTTAAATAAATAATAAGTTAAAAAAATAAAACCAAGATGGTAAATTTACAATGTACTTTTGGCATGAATGGCAAAGAAAAAAAAAATCAACATTCTAAAATATATGACCAATGAAACTATTACAAAGTTTGTTGATGTTACATTAAGAAGTTTACTTAGTTCTCAACTGTAATGAAGTAAGGTGAGGTTAATTTAAATAATCAATTAAACTTTGGAATTACGCTCCTAAAGTTTATCCTACATACTAAAAGTTCTAAAGTCTTAGCTGGGTATAGTGACCAGTGCCTACAGTACCACTTACTCTGTCTGGAGGCTGAGGCAGGAGGACTGCTTGAGCCCAAGAGTTCAAGGCTGCAGTGAGCTATGATCATGGAACTGCACTCTAACCTGGGTGACAACGAGAGACCCGGGCTCTAATGAATAAATAAATAAATGACAGTAAATACATGGGAAGGGTCTTTGTAAGACTATCAGATGTGGGGAGATTTGTTTTGATTTACCAGAAACCCTAAGACAGGTGAAAGAAATGTTTTTGCTTATACTGATCAACTTAACTGAGAGCTAGTGCCTTGGACAACAAAGTGACATAGCATCTCATCTTTTAAAAAAGGTTTTATTTATTTATATGTATCTTTATCTTTTTTTTTTTTTTTTTTGAGACAGTCTCACTCTATCGCCCAGGTTGGAGTGCAGTGTGGGACCTTGGCTCACTGCAACCTCCACCTCCCACCTCCCAGGTTCAAGCAATTCCCTTGCCTCAGCCTCCCCAGTAGCTGGAATTATAGATGTGCGTCATCATGCTCGGCTAAATTTTCTATTTCTGGTAGAGATGAATTTTACCATGTTGGCCAGGCTGGTCTTGAACTCCTGAAATCAGGTGATCTGCCCGCCTCAGCCTCCCAAAATGCTGGGATTACAGGTGTGAGCCACCGCACCTGGCCTTTATCTATTTTTTTCAAGAGAAGAATCGCATACCCAATCCTGGGCAACATAGTTAACACTCTGCTTCTTTAAAAAAAAAAAAAAAAA